TCCAATGGATGATGATCTGATTAGTCGACTATCAAAATAATAGTTTGTTGCAGCCCTAGTTAGCTTTAAACTTCAGGTCATCTTGTCTTCAAACTCCCAGAAACACGAGTTTTTAGCGCCTATTGATCAGTGATCATCAGCAGAGAACAGCACGGCCACGCTGGAGTCGATGTAACCAGTTTGGGCGTTTCACAAATTTAAAAGTGCGCTATAGGCAGATCCTGTGACTGCTATATCAACATCTGCTGATTGGCCCCAAAATGGCAGCCACAGGATGATGTCATGGGACAGTGTTGTGGTTAAATTGCCCATATGTCTGTCTCTCTGTCCATCTGTCTGACTCGGTGTGAAACTAAACTATGTTTCAGGTCACCGTGCAGATTGTGCCAAGGCTACGTGAAATTGCACATATACACACACCAACACAGAAACACACACACACACACACACACACACAGTCCCTTGGCTTTGCTGACAGAAGGGCTTGGAGAGTGGGTAATGAGAAAAGGTCCTCATGCATGAAAGCTCACGTCAGCAAGCTAGCCAGCCGCTCGCACACACACAGACACACACACATGTACAGAGATGGGAAAATATGTCAGTTACACTTCTGATAACATTCATAACACTAATTTTAAGTCTTTGCTCGACCCTGTTCTCCTCAGCTGTGACCTTCGGTGTCTTCCTCTCTCTTCCCGAGTTAGCAAAGATGCCAGTAAAACTTTCCAGAGCGCTCGTTTGAAATCTTTTCTTCTTCCATCAACCCTCCTCCTCGAATTGTTTTCCAGTTAGAGAATCACGTAAAAGCACAGCAACGTCCACAAAATGTAAATCGAGCACAACTCGCCATCACGATATCCAGCTGAGGAAAGAACCACCTGCCTTCACGTGTCAGAGGATTGTTTTAGCTGTCTGCGTCCAGTTAGCTTAAACTTAATGCTGTGTGTTAGAAGCGCCACGGGACATAACGTAGGGACCACACGGGCGTGCTGAGTGTCGGCGCCGTCCCACGGCCACTTCTGTTCCTGATGAAAGGCTCAACTTTTGGTTTGGTTTAAAAAACTTTATTCTGAGTTCTTCAGCCTGTCAGCGATGTTTGACCTCACAGCCAGGTTTACATGGAAGCACATTCTCACAGTGCAAAGCTGGCCGAGCGCCCCTGCAGAAGAGCCTCTCTGTCATAACTTTAGCTTTCTGTCATATAAACACAGAGTCCCCCAAAGTCCCACATCAACCTCTCTACTAGCATCGTTTCCTCTTCCCATTAAGAGTTTCTCCTCTCTGGTAGGAAAGGTGGAATTTCAGAAAATGTCTTTTTGGCATCTTTCAGCGGGGACGGAAAGATCTGTCCTGGTTCCCGTCTGCAGCTCCAGGCTTCGGCCCTATGTGTGAAAGGCACTGATGTAAATAGAAGTGTGGTATATTTATATAGGACTGGCACACTGCCTGATTGATCTGAAACATTACACTGACCGAGACCGCAAACACACACACACAAAGTCAATACCGCTGGACGCTCACAGAAACCTGTAAACAGATGTATAGTAGCACACATCTGCCTTATGTCAAGAAGCACACCAGACCAGGCCACGCAGAGCAGAGGCCTTTTTAAACTGACCACTAACTCTGTGGTTTTTATAAAGAAGCTTTTCCTTATTTCCTTTCATCTACTTTACGTCATCACGATGGATGTTCATATTAAACTTATAACGAGGTCGGCGTATGTGCGAGTAATCCCCTTCAGGAGCAGAACTCTCAGCACTCCGTCTGCTCTTGGCTCTGTGTGGTTATAGTGAGGGTGGATATCACCTTATATGGTAATCTTAGGCGTACAGCAACCCACCCACCTGCTGTTCAAACCTTCTGTTTGAAAAGAGCAGCCAATCAGAAGAGGAGCAAAGAGCTCAGACCTGATGTAAGTGAGGATTATTTTGATTCATCAGCAACTTTCAGTGTAATTGATGTTGTTGTCCAGAAGTTGAATCTGTTCATTTGTTGAGTTTTGTGGGAGAAACGTTTCGTCACTCGTCCAGGTGACGTCTTCAGTCTCAGCTGGCTGCAGATAATTGATGTAGTGTGAGTACATCATACTTTATCTCACCGGCTCATGACTGATGCTGCGTGTTGCTCTCCAGCTTGACACGATGC